CGGGCCCACTTAAAAAAAAATTATGGAATATTATTGTGTCTTCCTGTGAAAAAACGAGAGAAAAAATTTTTTAAAATCGAGCACATTTCATTCTCTTTGTCAGTAAGATGCCCATAGTTATTTTTAAGGGGACCTATCTTATCTTTAACTTTTGTTCTATAGACCTGGAAAAAACTTTTTGGGTTAGTTTTATGGAATCCCACCCAACTTTAATTTCATAGTCCCTTTTAGCTTTTCTTATCCTTTTAATGTCCCTTTATGTCAATATACTGATTCAAAAGATGCCCCTCGCCTCTTTTGATACGCCTATAAATTCCTTTCTTATGCCCTAGTAGATATTTCAGCCTATTATTCATCCATTTTGGGTCATTTCTATTTGATCTAATTTCTTTATAAGGGATAAACATTCTTTGAGCAGCATGTATAGTGTTCAGAAAACTCATGTTGATAGCTCTCTTCGTTACCCCAGTCAACAGATGATAAGTGTTCTCTAAGCCCATCGTAATCTGCTAAGCGAAAATCTGGGAGTGTTACTGAGTTATCCCTACTATCATACTTCCATTCAATGTTAAATGTAATTGATTTGTGGTCACTAGCACCCAGTTCCTCTGAAACTTCTAAGTTATTAACAAGGGATTCATTGTTGGCCAGAACTAAGTCAAGCAGGTTATTACCCCTTGTAGGTTCTGTCACAAACTGCTTCAAAAAACAATCCTGAACTACTTCTAAGAAGTCGTATGATTCTAAATTCCCAGTCAAGAATTCCAATCAATATGACTAAAGTTAAAGTCTCCTAGAATTACTACATTATCGTGCCTTGTGGCCCTAACAATTTCCTACCATAGTAGTCTCCCCTGGTCCCTATCTAAATTTGGGGGACGGTATATCACACCTAAAATTAATTTTTCATGCCCCTCTGAAAATTCTATCCAAACCAGACTCTGTATGTGTACTGGTGCACAGACCAGTACACAGCACCAGTACACAGTACCAGCACACACAGCACCAGTGCACAGCCACAGCACCAGTACACAGCACCAGTACACAGCACCAGTGCACAGCACCAGTGCACAGCACCACTACACTGCACAAGTACACAGCACCAGTACACAGCACCAGTACACAGCACCAGTACACATCACCAGTACACTGCACCAGAACACAGCACCAGTACACAGCACCAGTACACAGCACCAGCACACAGCACCAGCACATAGCAGCAGTACACAGCACCAGTACACAGCAGCAGTACACAGCACCAGTACACAGTACCAGTGCACAGCACCAGTACACAGTACCAGTACACAGTACCAGCACACAGCACCAGTGCACAGCCACAGCACCAGTACACAGCACCAGTGCACAGCACCAGTGCACAGCACCAGTGCACAGCACCACTACACTGCACAAGTACACAGCACCAGTACACAGTACCAGTACACAGCACCACTACACAGCACCAGTACACAGCACCAGTGCACAGCACCAGTACACAGCACCAGGACACAGCACCAGGACACAGCACCAGGACACAGCACCAGTACATGACACCAGGACACGGCACCTGTACATAGCACCAGGACACAGCACCAGTACACAACACCAGGACACAGCAGCAGGACAGAGCACCAGGACACAGCACCAGGACACAGCACCAGTACACAGCACCAGGACACAGCACAGCACCAGTACATGGCACCAGGACATGGCACCAGGACACGGCACCAGGACACAACACCAGGACACGGCACCAGGACACGGCACCAAGACACGGCACCAAGACACAGCAAGAGGACACAGCACCAGTACACAGCACCAGGACACAGCACCAGTGTACAGCACCAGTGCACAGCACCAGTACACAGCACCAGTATACAGCACCAGTACACAGCACCAGTACACAGCACCAGTACACAGCACCAGTGCACAGCACCAGTGCACAGTACCAGTGCAAAGCACCAGTGCACAGCACCAGTGCACAGCACCAGTACACAGCACCAGTACACAGCACCAGTACACAGCACCAGTGCACAGCACCAGTGCACAGTACCAGCACACAGCACCAGTGCAAAGCACCAGTGCACAGCACCAGTGCACAGCACCAGCACACAGCACCAGTACACAGCACTAGCACACAGCACCAGTACACAGCACCAGTACACAGCACCAGTACACAGCACCAGTACACAGCACCAGTACACAGCACCAGTGCACAGCACCAGTACACAGCACCAGTACACAGCACTAGTACACAGCACCAGTGCACAGCACCAGTACACAGCACCAGTACACAGCACCAGTACACAGCACCAGTACACAGCACCAGTACACAGCACCAGTGCACAGCACCAGTACACAGCACCAGTACACAGCACTAGTACACAGCACCAGTGCACAGCACCAGTACACAGCACCAGTACACAGCACCAGTACGCAGTACCAATACACAGCACAAGTACACAGTCCTCATCAACACCTACACTATGCCTGCCACAAATACATAACTAAGAACTTTCTAAAATTTCTACACTAATGTTCCATTATTAATAATATCTCACACATTTTCAAAAGTAAATTTAATAATAAAACAAGAACAATAATAAAAATAAATACCTACTATTTTTGCAACACAATAAGTCAGTGATGCAACAAAAGAAACCCTTTTAACCATCGTTCAGTGAATACCAGTCTTGCCAGAAGTGCACCAACATCCCAATAACTGTTGTTATTCCTATAAAAATAAAATCATTCCTTTCATGTGCTTTCAAAATTAATAGAATAATACAGGTTAATAATAATACATACCTGTAACGACTGTATGCCTTGTATAACAGCTGGAGTGAGGTCTCTCCTGGTGTGTGACCTGCGCTCCCCACCACCACAAACACTATCAACCTCGTCCAGAAACAACACTGATGGTGCACTGTGTGGAACACAAGTAGTTATAGTGTTACAACACTGATGGTACACTGTGTGGAACACAAGTAGTTTAGTGTTACAACACTGATGGTGCACTGTGTGGAACACAAGTAGTTAGTGTTACAACACTGATGGTACACTGTGTGGAACACAAGTAGTTAGTGTTACAACACTGATGGTGCACTGTGTGGAACACAAGTAGTTAGTGTTACAACACTGATGGTGCACTGTGTGGAACACAAGTAGTTAGTGTTACAACACTGATGGTGCACTGTGTGGAACACAAGCAGTTAGTGTTACAACACTGATGGTGCACTGTGTGGAACACAAGTAGTGTTACAACACTGATGGTGCACTGTGTGGAACACAAGTAGTTAGTGTTACAACACTGATGGTGCACTGTGTGGAACACAAGTAGTTAGTGTTACAACACTGATGGTGCACTGTGTGGAACACAAGTAGTTAGTGTTACAAACCTGATGGTGCACTGTGTGGAACACAAGTAGTTAGTGTTACAACACTGATGGTACACTGTGTGGAACACAAGTAGTTAGTGTTACAACACTGATGGTACACTGTGTGGAACACAAGTAGTTAGTGTTACAAGAGTTTATTACAAAATATAAATTTTTCTTCATTCCTCAACATAACATTCACAAAACTTGTTCTTCTTGTAAGTTTTAAATAAATTATATAACATACTGGTGATTTACACTGCCATAAATTATACAACATACTGGTGACTTACAGTGACACAAATTATACAGTAAAGCCTCAATTTGAATCTGAATAGTACAAAATTAAATTTAATACAAATTATAGAATGATACCAGACCTCATTTAATACGAGTCAAAATTTGGTGAGTACGAGTTTGCTGCTGCAGCTTGTTATCCTATACACGTTTACAATACTATATTATATTTTACAGTTTGATAAACTGCCCTTAACAAATATGGACAAATGAAGAATACTTATAGTGCAAATAATGAAAGCGCAAAAACGAATGGCTTGTTAGATGGTAGATCGATCTATAATTTTCTAACAAATAGAACACAAAGAGTAGTAGTAAACAGAGTACAGTCTGAGGCGGCTATGGTGAAAAGCTCTGTTCCACAAGGCACAGTACTCGCTCCCATCTTGTTCCTCAACCTCATATCTGACATAGACAAGGATGTAAGCCACAGCACCGTGTCTTCCATTGCAGATGACACCCGAATTTGCATGACAGTGTCCTCCATTGAAGACACCGCAAGACTCCAGGCAAACATCAACCAAATCTTTAAATGAGCCGTAGACAATAACATGAAGTTCAATGATGAGAAATTTCAATTACTCCAATGTAGAAAATGTGAGAAATTTCAATTACTCCAATGTAGAAAATGTGAGGAAATTAAAACTATATTGGAATATAAAACAAATTGCAACCACACAATAGAGCAAAAAACTAATGTAAAAGACCTGGGAGTGATAATGTCAGACCACAACATTGTATCACTTGCGTCTGCTAGAAAAATGACAGGATGGATAATGAGAACCTTCAAAACTAGGAATGGCAAGCCCTGATGACACTCTTCAGGTCACTTGTTCTATCTAGGCTGAAATATTGCTGCACACTAACAGCACCTTTCAAGGCAGGTAAAATTGCTGACCTCACTTAACGATAAGAGTTCCCTTCCTAAGACCACATTGGTAAACAAATTCGTAGCTAAGCGAGGAGCATACTATAATGGTAGTAGGTTTGTGTCAACCATCTTTGATATTGTATGAATGTCACCTTTGCACAATTTATAACATTTCTGGTATATTTTTCAATGTTTATACAGTAGTGTACTGTACATTGTAAGGAAGTCAGCTCTAATACACATTATTTAGGTATATATACTGGTCAAAGAGCCAGTCATAAGTCTGAGTCGTTGGTAAACCAGTACATCACTAAGTTAGGAGAGGCTATATATCACTGGAGTTTACCTGGAGTTTACCTGGAGAGAGTTCCGGGGGTCAACGCCCCCGCGGCCCGGTCTGAGACCAGGCCTCCTGGTGGATCAGAGCCTGATCAACCAGGCTGTTGCTGCTGGCTGCACGCAAACCAACATACGAGCCACAGCCCGGCTGATCCGGAACTGACTTTAGGTGCTTGTCCAGTGCCAGCTTGAAGACTGCCAGGGGTCTGTTGGTAATCCCCCTTATGTGTGCTGGGAGGCAGTTGAACAGTCTCGGGCCCCTGACACTTATTGTATGGTCTCTTAACGTGCTAGTGACACCCCTGCTTTTCATTGGGGGGATGGTGCATCGTCTGCCAAGTCTTTTGCTTTCGTAGTGGGTGATTTTCGTGTGCAAGTTCGGTACTAGTCCCTCTAGGATTTCCAGGTGTATATAATCATGTATCTCTCCCTCCTGCGTTCCAGGGAATACAGGTTTAGGAACCTCAAGCGCTCCCAATAATTGAGGTGTTTTATCTCCGTTATGCGCGCCGTGAAAGTTCTCTGTACATTTCTAGGTCGGCAATTTCACCTGCCTTGAAAGGTGCTGTTAGTGTGCAGCAATATTCCAGCCTAGATAGAACAAGTGACCTGAAGAGTGTCATCATGGGCTTGGCCTCCCTAGTTTTGAAGGTTCTCATTATCCATCCTGTCATTTTTCTAGCAGATGCGATTGATACAATGTTATGGTCCTTGAAGGTGAGATCCTCCGACATGATCACTCCCAGGTCTTTGACGTTGGTGTTTCGCTCTATTTTGTGGCCAGAATTTGTTTTGTACTCTGATGAAGATTTAATTTCCTCATGTTTACCATATCTGAGTAATTGAAATTTCTCATCGTTGAACTTCATATTGTTTTCTGCAGCCCACTGAAAGATTTGGTTGATGTCTGCCTGGAGCTTTGCAGTGTCTGCAATGGAAGACACTGTCATGCAGATTCGGGTGTCATCTGCAAAGGAAGACACGGTGCTGTGGCTGACATCCTTGTCTATGTCGGATATAAGGATGAGGAACAAGATGGGAGCGAGTACTGTGCCTTGTGGAACAGAGCTTTTCACCGTAGCTGCCTCGGACTTTACTCTGTTGACGACTACTCTCTGTGTTCTGTTAGTGAGGAAATTATAGATCCATCGACCGACTTTTCCTTTTTTCCTTTAGACGTTTTTGTGCCTTTTTACCCCTGGTCACACTTGTCAAGGGTTTTGCAAATTTCTGTATTATTACATCTGCATTTTTTTGTCTTCTAGTGCATTTAGGCCCTTGTCGGTGGTCCAATAGTTGAGACAGACAGGAGGACCTTTCTAAACCCATTTGCCCGGGGGTTGGTAAAAATGGGTTTCTAGATGCGGGGTTTGATCTTGCTTCTTAGGACCCTTTCAAAGTTTTTTTAGATATGGGATGTTAGTGCTAGGGGCTGTAGTTCTTTGCTTTGCTTTCCCGCCCCCTTTGTGGAGTGGGGCTATGTTGTTGTTTTTAGTAACGGGGGACGCCCCCCGTGTCCATGTCCCTCCCATGGTGGAAAAGGCTCGTGATGGGGGCTTTTTGCAGTTTTTGATGAACAAGATTCCATGATTGGCCCTGGGGCAAGGTGCATGGGATGTCTTTATCGCCTGTTCGAAGTCATTTGGCGTCGGGATAACATCGGTTGGGTTTGTTTTAAAATCAAATTTTGTGGCCTTCAAAAAAAAATTCATTTTGATCTTCACTCCAGTCTGGTTAGGGGCTTGCAAAAAAACTGAGTATTTGGGGCTTGAGTAGCTCATCATTTACGAGAAAAATTTATTTGGGATATATCAAAGTTTTAAAACAATTTTTTACATTAGTTGACATTAAAATTAAAGAACTCAGATTTTGAAGCAGTGATTTTTCCCAAGTAACAGCTCAAATCTAATTTCTTAAAACCAATTTTTTCTGAAAAATAACAACAAAAATCAGAGAAAATGAAGTTGGTGAATTTGAGTATAAAGAGTAAGTCCCGATTGCCTTTAAGACACCTACACAAACTAAAAACTTTGACTATGGTATTACAAAATTAACAAACAAAACAAAACAAGCAAACAAATACTCCTTTAAAATTTATTTTTACAATCAAAAAGAGTACAAACCCACAAGGTATACAGCCTTTTCCCTTTAAAGCAAAATTTCTGAATACAAGTTATGAAAATAAAAATAATAATTTTCAACATATCGGGGTTTAAAAGTTTTGTTCAAAAATTTCTTTCGGGTTTTGGAGGGTACGAATTTGTTGTTGCGACCATAGCAGGTTCATTATTGTACTAATCAAGATTTGCTGTTATACGAGATGTGTGAAGTAAGACAGAAGCGTGCATCTTTATTAAATATATGGATGGTGAAGTAAGACAGAAGGAGATTTTATTAATAGACTTGATTAGAAGGAAAATTTTTAAGGCTAGATTAAAGAAATTGCTTTTTAAATTAAAAAATAGATTTTTTAAACGAAAGTAAGCGTGGGTAAGACAACTTCAGATTGTAAAAAAGAGTCAAGGTTGTAGAAAAACAGTAAAGTGTTGTAAAAAACCGAAAAAGTGTTTTAGAAACAGTGTTGTAAAAAAACATCAAGTTTGTAGAAACAGTCAATATTGTAGAAAAGTCAAGTGTTGTGAAAAACAGTTAAGTTTTTGGGGAAAAATCTGTCTTTTGCAATTTAACCCAAGTTAAAAAAAAAACTGGATATTAAAAACTCAAGTTTTAAAATATCCAGACTTTTCCCCATGTCCCTGACGCTAAAAAAAAATGTCAGCACATGTCTGACAAAAACAAAAAAAATGTAATTAACGGGTATAATAAGCTAAAATCTTTGATTGACAACACCCCACACCACGTAATACAACAAAATGTTTTCCCCCTTACATTAAAAAATTCACTCATAGTAATAGTACCACACACACACACACACACCACACGCACGCCCACAAAACACACCACCACAAAACACACACACACATGACACACCGCACACACACACACACCCCCGAAAGGCCCCCCGTTATCAAGCGGTCACTT